GTATATATATGTATGTGTGTGTGTGTGTGTGTGTGTGTGTGTGTGTGTTTTTCGACAGCAACATTACTGTTTCGGCTGTTTCTTCTGTTTCTGTTGAAAAAAATGCACTACGTAATTAGTTAGTTGGCGAAGTGTTCATTTCTTTATAGAAAGTGTTTTTTTTTGTATTTTAAAATCAAGAACGATTATTGTTGTTTTTACTTCCATTTGACCAGATTTTATCAGTATTATTCCTGTCTGTAAAATATGAACAGTTTGCAAAGTTATTTGAACACGAGAAAAAAATATTCAGATTTCCCTAGTCGTGTATATACAGTGTAATCATAGCTTCGTCTAAATGGAACTCTGTCGATGTTGTAAAATCCGCTGGGTAATTTTATCAATGTCTCTTTTAAATACGATTTCAGGCTAGTGAAATGAATGTAATTTCTTTATCTGACATCAATGCTTTCGAAGGAGAACATTGGTATAATCTTAACGAAACAACATCAAACGCAATTGCTTTTTCTCTTCTTGCTTGCTGAGCTGTGGAGAGGCGTGTAGGTGTTAGAATTCCCTGTGACAAAGGCACGCAGGAGAGGAGTGAAAACGCAAGATGTAACTCCTGCACTTCGATGAAGTCTTTACTGGAATTACATGATTTATGCGTACTGAAAGGTTAAATGACACACGCCAGAAACATCTATGTTTGTAAAAGCAATTCACTGTCTTTGAATGGGCTTCCCTCTTCATCTGGTTCCTATAATCCTTCTCTTTCTCCTCGATGTTCATCTAATTCGGATTTCCTTTTGATTCACATGAAACGGAATATAAATTATGAACGCCGACTTTTTGCTTTTCTGATATCGCCCAAAATTATTCCAAGAGGTGTGATAGTGCAAAGCAGTGAAGTATATATATATAAATGTGTGTGTGTGTGTATACAAGTATGTATATATATATATATATATATATATATATATATATATATATATATATATATACATATATATATATATATATATATATATATATATATATATATATATATATATATATATATATATATATATATATTTATATTTATATACATGTATATATATATATATATATATATATATATATATATATATATATATATATATATATATATATATATATATGTATATGTGTATATATACATACATAAAGACATAGATTTATGGATAGAATTTTGTGTATATATATATATATATATATATATATATATATATATATATATATATATATATATATATATATATATATATATATATATATATATATATATATATATATATATATATATGTTTCTCTCTCTCTCTCTACATATTTATGGTACAAAAACCCACATGGCAAAAACTAGATTTATTGAAAATGAGACTACAGTTTCGAAATCCACCTGGGTTCGGTGTTGCCAGTCTTGGCAAACCTATTCATGGAATTCTTTGAGTCTGAGCTTCTCCCTCTCATCTCCCTCCGCCCTTCGGTTTGGCTGAGGTATGTCTTTGCTCTCTGGCCTCATGACCCTTCCCTGTTCTCGAATTTCCTGACGCAGCTGAACTCTCTCTCTCCTTCCATCCGTTTCAAGGTGGAATGGGAGGATGACAAGTTCCCCTTCTTGGACATCCTAGTTCGTCGCTCTGCTGACTTCTCCATATACAGGAAGCCTATGCAGAATAGTATGTACATACACTTCTTCTCATACCATCCTCTCCATGTAAAGAGAGGTGTTGCCACGTCGCTGTTCCTCCGCGCCCTCCGCATCTGTGACCCCCAGTACCTGGATGGAGAGATCGACTTCTTGCGTCGTTCGTTCTCGAAACTGGGCTGCCTTCGTCATGTTCTCGACGTCGCGTTAACCAGGGGGTGGCGTACCTTCTACCACGACTCCTGTCCTAAAGAGACTCCTCACCTGCCAATCCTCAGCTTGCCCTGCACTGAGGAGATCTACTCTCTCTGTCGCTCTCTTCACCCTCCCAACTGCAGGCTGATCGTCGCAACCTGGTCCACACCAGTCCTCCGTCTACCTCGAAGGTAGGCACCTTTGTGATAAGCAATACTTTGGTGAGACGGGCGCCAGTCTCACTAAGCGTCTGTCTCAGCATAAGTCTTATTTTCAACAAATCTAGTTTTTGCATTGTGTTTTTTTTTACCATAATCTCTACACGGAAGAGTGGTTTACCATTCATACATATTCATAAATGCATATATATATGTATGTATCTATCTATCTATCTATCTATCTATCTATCTATCTATCTATCTATATATATATATATATATATATATATATATATATATATATATATATATATATATATATATACATACTGGTATATATATGTGAGTGGAAGTACAGAACAAACGAATATGCCGAAGGCCTTTTCGCATTCATTACTTCATCAGGACAGGCCTGCCCCCACGAGGAAGATGGTAGAAGCGGCGCACATCCATTCAACTAACAACTTCAATACCGCAACAGGGAGCCACAGACTAGCCA